TTCTCTGCAGACAGCACCACCTCCCTCAGGTCTTTACTGATCCCCGGGACTCTGGACAGGTCAATCCGGTTGTTGTTCAGACCCAGCAGCTCGTGGACCATCGCCTGGTACGTCCACTGCAACACACACCAACATCTCATTAAAACACTCTCAGATACCGGTCTGTCTTCTTATTCTTACAAGAGAAATAAAAAAACTGAACKTATTTCTGCTAACAAGAGTAAAACTCATACAAATAAATATTTCTAAATTAAYTGACACAGTTATTATTTCAAAAAGAACTCATTACTGTGAGAAACTGAATGTGATGACAACTGGTTTCCTTTAGTTTAAAATAAATGAAGAGMTGTGATTGGTCACCTGGTTGAGCAGCGGCGTGATGGCGTCGTCGCTTCGGTCCAGGATCAGCAGCAGAGGAGGAACTTCAGTCTTCCTGAAGTCGAACAGCTCGTATTCCTTTGTGATGATTTGCTGAGGAGAGAAAACTGTTGGTTACTCCAGGAAAATACTATTTAAAATCCTTCTTAGTTATTATTATTATTAAAATGTTCTTTAAGGTTCAAAGATAAACCAAACTAGACATGGGTTTTTACGATGTAAAAACAAGTGTGCATTGCCATGTAGCATGTCATTGCAGCAGGGCTTTGCCTGCAGCATTGGACTTGCAGAATGAACTTTGACCAAGTTCACATGTGTTTTCTATACCAGGTTGTGCCTGTCACGTCAGCAGGTGTTTAGAATTAAGGTAATTGTGTGACAATATGAAGTTTAAAGAGATTTTTTCTTAAAGTTGCRTTAGCCGGGTTTCGAATCCTGACCTCCCACATGAAAGTCCATGWCATWGACCATTAAACCAATGGCGTTRTGGCAGAAAGTGGTGGCAGGGGTTGGTTTGTATGTGTGCGGAAAGAGGCCACATTGCCAATACAATTATTGACACTAAACTGCATAATATTACAACAATAGAGCAGTATTAAGACATTGATATAGTAAAACATCCAAATACAATCAAATTAGTATTGTAAACACTGAACTGTTCAGATTAAATATTAAAAAACTATGGTGCAGTACCTAGTTGAGTACAGCTGGGGGCAGTATTTGACCATTACAAGGCCCCATTGACTCCCATTATATAAATTTGGAATATAGTTTAAACATTAATATTTCAAAAACTACAAGTTGTACAGGTACCAAAAGGCATAGCAATTATTTGGCACAGGACCTTTACAGATAGAAATTACAATAGCAGCTGTAGGACAATGTAGGCAGGAGCATTGGACTTTCAGAATGAACTTTGACCAAGTTCAAATGTGTTTTCTATACCAGCTTGAGCCGGTCACGTCAGCAGGTGTTTGTAATTAAGGTAATTGTGTGACAATATGAAGTTTGCAGAGATTTTTGTTAAAGTTGCAGTAGCTGGATTTGAATCCTCATCTCCCACATGAAAGCCCACAGTGCTCATCATGAGACTATAGGAGATGTGGCAGAGGACAATCCCAGGGATTGGATTGTATGTATACAGAAAAAGTTTACCTTGCCAATGCAATTATTGACACTTAAGCGCAATATATTACAGCAATAGGACAACATAAAGACAGTATAACAATAAAACATCAATAT